TGGATTATTATTTGGTCAGATTAAATTGACCATGTAAGTACAATAAATACACAGACGCTAATCTAGGTTATTTTTGTTGGTACGTGTCTGTAGTTTTATTTTTAAACATAATCCGATGAACTTTTTGAAACTGTATTCTAATAGCCAGGTGTTTAATTACCAGTGTTGAAACTAATACAACACGCGTGCATATTACCACTAATGTTAAACAAAATTTACGTAATAGCTTTAAGAACATCTGAATCGAGTTAGTTTTGGTCTTTGCTCACATGCCTGTCGTGTAACTTTAATTTGTGGCGAGAGTAGTAAAACGAAACAGCTTTGTGAAACTTTTTTGCGCTTTAAGTGTCCCAAACAAATATTAAAACCGTAATAATGACGTCGAATGATGTCGCGTATCAAATTAATTTTGTAAAATATACAAGCAATATAATTTTTTAATCAATTTTGATGGCCTTGCATTATATCAGTTTCATTGAGTATTATATCACATACAGGTATCTTGTCGTGTTTTACCAATTTTTACATCGGCAGTGAATATTGAAATTTCATTAATACTTACAATTGAAAAAATAATAACTATAAACATTTCAATATTATCGGCAATATATTATTTATTATTAATTTTCCAAGCGTCTCGAATGTATTTTCGTACTGAATTATAGCAACAGTCATTGAATATTTTAGAAACATGATAGTTGAAACCCATTGCAGTATAGTGATGTTATAATCTTTTAAATATACTTTTAAAACATATTATCTCTTATACGTACTTGGGATACAACTCGCTGTCATCGTCGAAATCCATAATAGTTTCATCTGTCTACGTTGTTTTTATCTTTAGACGGGACTACACCCACAAATATCATACATAATACATATGGACGTGAATATGATGTACGAAAAGTATTTAAAGTACATTTCACGGTACACACCTTCAATGTGTTATCCAATTTTTGTGTTTATTTTTATTCGATTTTGCGGTGTGCATATCATTGTACTTCCTATTATTATCCCATCACGCCAATTGACATTTGAAGAAAATTTGAACATATTTTATTTTTATTTTTAGTGCGCATTCATGAAAAATGAATAACTTATTATTCTCCTGGAAAACTGGAAGTTTTATCATTTAATATGATTTTTTTTTTATACTTTTCGTATTTTGCCGCTATACGGTTTCATTCAGAATATTATATGAATGTTTTCTTATCGAAAGGACTGATTATTATTATTACTCTGAATAAAACTGATTTTAACTTTTATAAAAACATGTACGGTGCAATTACTGTATAGTTGGGACCGAGTCCGTAGGACTTATGTTCTTCATAAACGAGGTATTATGAACTAAAGTGATTTGGGTTGGTTTGAACCGGCCCGGGAGATATTTGACTCGGTAAAGCCCGTACCACAAAAGCTTTTCGAGTGAATGTGTTGAGATCAGAAATCGTACGTTTAAATATACATTAGTGTTTTTCTCCGTTGTAAAAGTTATATAGAAATAAGTATCGACAATGAACGAAAAACTTTAATATAAAATTACTTGTGCAGTAAATATAAGAATTACATTGAGAACAAAAATGTAATTTACTTCTGATTATAATTAATAAGAATATATCTGTGGAGCCGCGTTTGATTTTCTATACTAACTCTATTAATCACACTATACCATGTATATTTTTTTAATTGAATGGTTTTTGATGAGGTTTTATTAGTTAAACACGATTTTCTCTTATAGCGCATTGAATGTTTTAATTGCATGTATTTACCTAGACCCAAAACGTTTTTCATTGCGAGTTACAGGAGTAATGTAGGTAGAAAATGAAAAACGATTAGAAAACGATTCGATTTCTTAATTACTGCATTCTGATTAGTCTCTATAGATCTGTAAGTATATCAATATTAAGCGCCCAAACAATTTCCAATGAAAACTTTGGTTAATATTGAACGACCATTGTAGAAAACAAACCTTATAAATACTAATATATAGTTTTTCTCATTATTAAATGAGTTAATTTATTTTATTATGCATATACACAATTATATTTTAATTTAATATTATATTATGTTTATTGTAAATTTGATTTATATTACTTGTACCTACTGAGCTAAAACGTTATTTAAGCTTTGGAAACAGACCCTTGTCTATAGATTTGTTTGCCGTTAAATCGTAATAACTTTAATTTAATCACAGATCAACTGATAATCGAAAATATTGAAGCGACATATATCTTCGATATTAAAATATCATTTCGATAAATATGTATATAGTTATGAACATGATCAAATTTTAACTGTATTTTGTGTTGATATACCGTCGATTTTTTTCATTCGTATATACAGTTATGAGTTTCAGCTTTATTTTGATATGATGAATTTTTTAAGTTTTTTTTTTTTTTAACGTAATCTATTAAAAGTATATTGTAAAAATAATAAATATCTATAGTTTCCATCGGCGTTGAATAATTCTTAAAGCAGCGTGTATATGTTTTTATTTATTATTAAGCATGTTAGAAGCTCGTTATTTAAGTACCTTCGCAAGAAATTCCTCAGGAGGCTTTAACGAACAATGTATTCTTCGAAAATCCAGACATTTTTTCTGTTAAATTACAAACATATTCTTTAACGCATTTTTAATTTAAAAAATAAATACTTGTAAGCGTACATTGGATTCCTGTATTTGGATGATTCCTGTAATCTTTTCACAGAAATATTGTCTTTTTAACAATAAAAATTAATATTCTACTATAATGTGCATTATAAATGTACAGGTATTGTGCGTTTTGAATTTTAATAAGGGAAAATATGTTTGGACGTCGGTTCCTTGTAATTAAAATTAAATCAGTAAAAACTATACTTATATATTCTGAATGTATAATATTATTTAATTAATACTATTAATTAAATCACCGGAATTAATGTAAACATATTTTTACCATAAAATCTATTATATGCTTTCAGACGTTAATTTCTCCAGTTTTATCAAGATTGTTATTATATCTAATAAAAATGCAAGCATATAAATGTCTATGTATATTAGTTTATACTTGTAGAACTTTTATTGTACCTTCATAGTAAGTTATGTTATTATAATAATTACAAATCTGTTAGAACTTTACAGGAGTACAATGTCCCTTTAATTTTTCCAATTATTGTTCAAAAACATGCCATGTTTATTTTGATTTTTTTTAATAATGCAATTTGATCCTTATTTTTATATGATATTATTTTTCTTTATATATTTTAAAACTACATAAGATACTTGTTGAATACCAATAAAATGTAAAAATATGGTATATATTTTGATTTTGAATCAATGTCTTTAACGAAAAATGCCATGCAGATTGAACGAATATTTTGTGAAATGTAATATATGTGTTTAGGCGTTTAACTTTAATTTCAACTAAGAATTTATTTTTAATCGATTTTTATATTTATATATAAATATGAATAAATCATTATTCAAATTATTATTGTAAATAAACTAATCCGTGTTTTTTTTATTTTTTTCTGTTTAAATAAAATAATGTATCAATTATGTTTCTTTACCACTTTGGATAGTTTGACTTCACCTCATAAAACTTTAAATGTAATGAAACTCTTACTTTTTGTGCATATATTTGTATAATTTCTGTTTGGTACTCCCAGTCTACTATGTATGTATAAATTTACCAAAATTCAACAAAATTATAGCAACTTTGTTTTTTACTTGCCCCCGGGGGAAAACCATTGCAGTGCAAATCGACTACAGTGGTCGTTATATAGGCGTGGTTGAAGTTTGACGAAGGCTGAGAAATATCGCAAAGAAAGTCATTGAGATACACGCCGGAGGTATATGGTTAACAACGCGAAATTCCTTTCATTAATCGTTAGACTCGTGCATGCGTACATGTGTGTTAAGATTATTCAGTTTTAATTAATGTTTCAGTATTTAGATTAAATTACGAAGAGGACCGGAGGACTCATTATAATCACTCATTTTTACGGTGCAACTAAACAGAATATTTTTCTTAACACCTCTGAGTATTGAACGTCAAAACAGAAATTAATAATTTATATGTATTTAAAGTTTGATGAAATTCTACTTTGTATTACAAGTCGTATAAAAATAATTTTATAAAATTTAATTTATCTACCGAAAGAATAAGTGATAATTCAAGAAAATAAGTACCCTTTAAGGATATATACACGCGCACACATATACATTTAAACAAATGTATTATTTAAATGTGTATAAATGTATGTATATATAATCGTACCACAGTCGTATATGTATCATATACCTGCTGGATATGTGAGTATTATGGTGTGTTATTTGGTCAAGGACGAATAAAAACATGGATTAAAACCATTTTACACATATATTAGAAATATTTAATCCGAAAAACATTCCTTTATTTTCGTTGTTATATTTGAGAGAAAATACTCGTAATCTTGTTTATATTTATCATATATATGTAGCAATATATATGTAACATACACATAATTGAACGTAATTAAATCTCAACTGCTATACTATCCGGGAACTAATGATACAAAGAAAGCCGAATTTTTTAAACGGCTTGAGAATTATATAAATATGGGAGAATGACGCGTTTTTCCTGACACCTACTTAAATGCATACGTATATCTATAAGTCTTCCATGAAAATTGAAAAATTAAAAATAACTTTTTCGTAAACAAAAAAATAGTGCATTTATATGATTTTATTACAGAAAATAAAATTTAAATTATACACCAGCAAGATTCCAAAAGTTAAAAAAATCATACCTTAATATAAATATCATTAATATTGTTTCCATTTGTACGTATACGTTCCTAAAATCAAACTCCGACGTTGTGTAATTTTGCAATACCTGCAAAATGTTAATTTTGCCGAAATTAAAGCTAACAAATATATAAATAAATAAAATGATAAATAATAATACACAAATATTATGTATTATATTTACTCACTGATATCTTAAAAATTACTCATGAAATCGTTTTTATATTTTCAGAGTCGACCACAGACAAGCGTGCAGGATGGTTGTGCCACTATCAACGGTGGCCTAGGCCGACACTCGTCTTCCGCATCGTCATCTACTGGACTAGCGGACACGTCTGCCGAAACGGACAACGTAAGTATACTATTGCTGTTTGCGTTTCAATCTACAACTTAAGTTATAGCTCTGTTTATATATATATGCATGTATGTATGTTTTGTGTACAGCAATAGTGTGGTTTTCTTTTAATACTTGAGCCGAGAACTATGGTGAAAAAATCGCCGTAAACTTTTGTAGACTTTTCAATTTATAGTGCTTAAACACAAAGTTGACCTAGGAACATTTATTAAAACTTTTACTTGCACCAAAATCCGTGTGAGATATTTTCGTGTCGGGTAAACGTTAAAATATCGTCGCAACTTATACATTATAGGTATAGTGTGACCGACCGTTCGTCGTACAGGTAGTTTTTTCTAAGGAGGTTTTTCCTCTTAGCGTAACACAATGGATTAATGGATTACAGTTTTTGCACTACCGACGTACATGCATACCATATATGTATATTTATTAACCGATGAAGATGATTGTGAATTATTTATTATCTGATCACATACTTAAAACCTTTGTTCGACTTGGGTATTTTGGTGTGTATTTTTTATTCGATTATTTGCATTATTATTGTATTATAATATTATAACTGAACAGTGTAAATTATATATATGCTTATCTATTTTACTTCAAATAATTTTATTTATTAAAAAATCACAAAACGAATGTTGAAAAAATATGTTAAAACCTAATTTATTTTTTGATAAGATTTTCAAATATACGAATATAATCATGGTAATAGGTTTTATACTAAACTAGATTTTACGATTTGGAACTGATATTGATGAATAAAAACTTAAATTATTAGCTTAAGAAATATTAATATGTGTAAAACAATGTCGACTGTGATTTAATGTAAGAGTTATTTTATTAAAAAAAATTAACAAAAAAAAAAAAAAAAAAAAAAGAATAACGTTGATAACTTTGTTTCCTAGCTTAAAATGTCGTGAAATATAATAAATTTAAGTTCTTTTATCTTTTTTTCTCTCTCAAATGAGTTTCTACTAGTCGTTTTTGATGAAGATCAAAAGTCCATGATAACTTTCTAGAAAAGTTTTAATGAATGTTTTGAGTTCAACAATTGCTTTAATAAAGTAAATATAAGAGCTTAAAACGAATACAATGTAAAAATACAGTTGTAATCATAAATTAATCTTCAACATTTTACGCTTTTTATTTTTACAAAATATACAAAAATACATTTTTAATTATATAAAGTACGCCACAGATTATGATATAAATAATAAAGGCGACATTATTCTTGTATTTAAAATATAACAACAATGTTATTTTTATATTAATTTGTATTATATTGATGTGATATTATTTTTTATCATATGAAATAAACGATTGTAGTATAGCAATAAAATTTTTACTTCGTATTGATTGAATAACGGATTGACGACACTTGCAACTATCGTGTAATAATAATTGTGGTTTTAGAATTTCGGGCCTGGAATTTTTACGAAGTTCAAATCAAAATGATTTGAAAATAATCCGCCCATACTTACGGTGTATTATTATCCAAGCAATATTTTTTTTATTTTTTTTTATAATTCTTACATTACATAAACTGCACGCGCAGCTGTCATGATCTACCCTCGAACTTCTATAACCTTTTTGATTGCCCTGTCTTTCAAAAGTAGGATGGTAAAATGACCCATAACTATCTCTTTTTGCTTTATATTATTTTGTGTTGGTACACATTACTATCGAGTTAAGATTTGTCATTAGTGAAACCACCTCATGGCCATGTTTTAAAATATTTTTTAGATTGTATTGGTTAGGGTACCAGATACCTAATTTAATACACGATTCTTCAAACAATCGAAAAAGTTGCGTCCGTCTAATCAAACGATGATTGGGTAGAACTATATCGGTTCACTAAAACTACGTGCTGCAGTTGTATGGTCGTCTCCGTGCTTGTAATATAATATAATGGACGGCTGAAGAGAAGAGTCGCTTCGATACATGCAACACGCATGACTTCACAAATTTGATCAGCATTTTCGATTTTTATAAATCAATGTTTTTATATACATATATTTATATACGGTTTTATTCCAACGACCAATACCTGTACCCCCGTATATAAATGTATGTTTTATATAATTCATACATATTGAACGTAACGTGTACTATACTGCATTGGATCTCATTGCGACAAAAAACCAAACCATACGTCTGTCTGGAACTTGCTCGCCGTCTATACATTATTCAAATGAAATATTAGAAAAATCGTACTGGTTGATTTATTATGATCGGACGCGAACATTTGAGATTCGAAACGTCTGTCAGCAATACGAACGTGAGTAATACGTAAACATAATATTATATGTACTAGCAAAAGCGTGATAGGATCAAATGTAATAAAACCATATAAATATCTTTACGCCTTCCATGTAGATACACACTATTTTCAGATAATTACCGACATGATTCAAACATTGATTTAACGCAGCTGTTCTTTCGTTTGTATAATGCTTACTATAAAATATTAAAGTAATATTTTTATTATCATTCGTGATTTCAAATTTATATATATATATATATATTATTCGTCGTGAATACTCTTCAGTATAATTTATGTCTCCAGAATTCAGTATTACTAATAATAGTTGTAAAATGTAAAATATCATCAGACAGGGAACATATTCATAAATTTTCTAATAGTCATTACAGTTCATCCACCCCTATTATGTTCTATAATTATGCGTGTATAGTTTACGCGGAGGACGAATGCATTGTGTACTTAACGTATATTATAATTTATGCTGTAGATTGAAATATATGGTACATACCTCGTATAAAATTATATAGCTTGTTATGATTTTAACCTATCAAAATGTGTTGTTGTTGGGTTTTCGTTCGAGTGGTACATTTTTCTTTGGGCTGAACTTGTCGTCGGGATCCTCGCTTAAAACCCGCGCACATTTTTAATACACATAAGATAAAAAGAAATCATAGAACCATAGTATAAGTTTTTCAAAAATTCCTGAAGCGATGACAATCCAAATTCAGGATTTTTGTCGCAATATAGATTTTCACCGACTTATTAATCATTAATACGTGCCGTTATGGCGATAAATTCTTCTGGTCACGCCCCAGGGGGAACGCACGCCTCGCAGCAAGTTTTTCTACAGAGGATTGAGAGCAGGTGTGTGTGTGTGTGTGCATGTGCTCAAAGAATAAACGACTGTGTGTATTATTAGTAGAATATAATACACTGTAAGTCTCATCGCGTTTTCTTGCTTTGGTCTGCTCTCCGGCATCGTATCAAGAGTAATAAAAGCTCGTCCGCTTTTGTACGCACGAAAACACACACACAAACACACATGCATTTATATACTTGTGCGACCGATATATATATATATTACGGTCGCCTGCTTAAGTCTCTTTCGTTTCTTACGTTTTCCTTGTCGACTGTTGGTGAACGTGTGTGTACTATTGTTTTACACGGTTTAACACGCGGCAGTCCCCGCGAAAACAGAGGAGAAAATAATGAATTGCACACGTCTGCGATGATATTTACTACTTAAATCTAGCGGAACTGCTGGCGTCCGCCGCTCGACGTACTCGATTGCTCGTACGTTTAATAACGTGTATCGCACTTGCGCTCTGCTAATAAATAAAACGCATTTTTCTCCGACGATTTTTCAATCGTCTGTCCCGCACGTATAATATATATGATAATAATATCCGTACGCGAATCGTGAGGTATAAGTAGTGTAGTAGGTATGTATGTGTTCGCCACAACAGGATTTTTCGCAAAACGCTATGGCGACGAAGGGAAGAGCAAAAATGGATAGTACTGATAAAAACCGAATGATAATCCACATGCTGGATTTAATGAAAAAGTCTCGTAGAGCTTCATACCGAGTATTCATTTGAAAACAAGTAAGAGACGAGTGCACAGCTCATCGTAAATCATACGTACATTTAAAACACAACGTTGGCGTATCGCAAGACAATATATACCACGCGTTGTTTAATAATTTTTCAGAAACAACGTATTTATAACTACGCTTTTATACCGCGCTGCGAATATTAGACACTTTTTCAAACGACTGTCCACTAACGGTGCCTATAATATTATATTTCCAGAAAATTTTAAGCTTAAATTCACGTGGCCTTATATTCATTAAAAAATAAAATAAATTATTTAAATTCATTGGTAATGTATTTTCCTTTTTTTGGTATATTAACTATCGAGAAATTAGACCGAAAATATTGTCCAATGCTGGCACAGTGTTCAAAGAACTAATTTAATTTGAAGTACACTTTTTCACTACATAAATATTAAAAAAATATGTTATACCCCTTCAGAATATTTTTTTATAAATTATGTGATATTATTCTTATACTCGTATATTATGATTTTCGTACACTATGAACTTTTATTATTATACTATTAATTTATTATTATTACTCTATTATACTTTACAAAATAAAATACCGTTTTAGAAACGTTTTAACAATACGTGAAACTGAACAATTTTTTAAGCTCAAAAATATATATTTTTGCTTTTACTAAATATTTTTAATTTTTTTTTTTTTTTTAAATTACTTAACTTTTATGCGACAATTATTTTTCAGCAGCAATCAGGCCATGATGATATACCCTTGAAATTTTACCTCTTTAAGCATCGCATATTCCTCTTATAATACATATCTATTAAAACATTACATTCTTAATCATAAAATGTTATCACTGTTAATCATAGAGCCCACTAAATATTATCTAATAACAAAATCCTATTATATAATTTCTTGTTATAATTCAAAGTTCTAATTAAAATATTCAATTAAAAACTGCTTTTAAATCATGCTATAGGAGTATTGCCACTGAACGACTTTTTTTTTATCTATTATCTGTAGCATGCGGCCCTATATCTTATTAATCATTAATCCTTATTGAACTACTATTGACATGTATAGATAGTAAATACAATATTGTTTTGTGAAATTAATGAGAAAAATAAGAAAAAAAATTATTATTTAATATAAATTTACATTCAGTAGAAATT